GCATAAGGATTTCCAGTTTTCCCAGCACCATTTGTTGAAGATGCTATCCTTCCTCCATTGCATGCTTTTAGCCCCTTTATCAAATATAAGATAGTTGTAGTTTTGTGGATTGGTTTCTGTGTCCTCTATTCTGTACCATTGGTCCACACGCCTGTTTTGGTACCAGTACCATGCTGTTTTTGTTACTATTGCTCTGTAGTATAGTTTGAAGTCAGGTATCGCTATACCGCCTGATTCACACTTCTTGCTTAGCATTGTTTTTGCTATTCTGGGTCTTTTATTTTTCCATATGAATTTCATGATTGCTTTCTCTATTTCTACAAGAAATGCCATTGGGATTTTGATTGGCATTGCATTAAACCTATAGAGAACTTTTGGTAATATCGCCATTTTGATGATGTTAGTTCTGCCTATCCATGAACAGGGTATATTTTTCCATCTTCTAAGATCTTCTTCTATTTCTCTCTTTAGGGTTCTGTAGTTTTCATTGTATAAGTCTTTCACCTCTTTTGTTAGGTTGATTCCCAAGTATTTTATTTTTTTTTTGAAGATATTGTGAATGGAGTGGTTGTCCTCATTTCCATTTCAGAGGATTTGTCGCTGATATACAGGAATGCCTTTGATTTATGCGTGTTGATTTTAAATCCTGCCACTTTGCTGAATTCATTTATTAGCTCTAATAGTTTCTTTGTAGAGCCTTTTGGGTCTGCTAGATATAGAATCATATCATCTGCAAATAGTGATAATTTAATTTCTTCTTTTCCTATTTTTATGCCTTTAATTTCTTTCGTCTGTCTAATTGCTCTGGCCAGTGTTTCGAGAACTATGTTGAAGAGAAGTGGAGAGAGAGGGCATCCCTGTCTTGTTCCAGATTTTAGAGGGAATGCCTTCAGTTTTTCTCCATTCAGAATAATGCTAGCCTGAGGCTTAGCATAGATTGCTTTTACAATATTGAGGTATGTTCCTGTTATCCCTAGTTTTTCTAGAGTTTTGAACATAAAGGGATGCTGTACTTTGTCAAATGCTTTTTCCGCATCTATCGAGATGATCATATGGTTCTTATTTTTAAGTCTATTGATGTGGTGAATAACATTTATTGATTTCCGTATATTGAACCAGCCTTGCATCCCAGGGATGAATCCTACTTGATCATGGTGTACAATTTTTTTTATATGTTTTTGTATCCGATTCGCCAGAATTTTATTGAGGATTTTTGCATCTAGGTTCATTAGAGATATTGGTCTGTAGTTTTCTTTCTTTGAAGTGTCTTTGTCTGGTTTAGGTATCAGGGTGATGTTGGCCTCATAGAATGAATTTGGAAGTTCTCCCTCCTTTTCTATTTCCTGAAGTAGCTTGAAAAGTATTGGTATTAGTTCTTCTTTAAAGGTTTTGTAAAATTCTGCTGTATACCCATCGGGACCTGGGCTTTTCTTAGTTGGTAGTCTTTTGATGGTTTCTTCTATCTCCTCAATTGATATTGGTCTGTTTAGGTTTTCTATATCCTCCTGACTCAATCTGGGCAGATCATATGACTTAAGAAATTTATCTATGCCTTCACTATCTTCTAATTTATTGGAGTATAAGGATTCAAAATAGTTTTTGATTATCTTCTGTATTTCTGAAGTGTCTGTTGTGATATTGCCTTTTTCATCCCGTATGCTAGTAATTTGAGTTCTCTCTCTTCTTCTCTTCACTAGCATCGCTAAGGGTCTGTCGATTTTGTTTATTTTTTCAAAGAACCAACTTTTAGTTTTGTCAATTTTTTCAATTGTTTCTTTTGTTTCGATTTCATTAATTTCAGCTCTGATTTTAATTATTTCTTGCCTTCTACTTCTTTTGCTGTTGTTTTGCTCTTCTTTTTCAAGGATTTTGAGATGAAGTATGAGATCATTTATTTGTTGTTTTTTTCTTTTTTTAAGGAATGAACTCCAAGCAATGAATTTTCCTCTTAGAACTGCTTTCAATGTGTCCCATAGATTCCGATATGTTGTGTCTGTGTTTTCATTTATCTCTAAGAATTTTTTAATTTCCTCCTTGATGTCTTCTATAACCCATTGATCATTCAGTAACCTATTGTTCATTCTCCAATTGATGTATGCTTTTTCCTTCCTTCTTTTATCGTTGATTTTCAGTTTCATTCCATTATGATCAGATAAGATGCATGGTAATATCTCTACTCCTTTATATTGTCTAAGAGTTGCCCTGTGACATAATATATGATCTATTTTTGAGAAGGATCCATGTGCTGCTGAGAAAAAAGTGTAACTGCTTGATGTTGGGTGGTATACTCTATATATGTCAATTAGGTCTAGGTTATTAATAGTGTTATTGAGTTCTATAGTTTCCTTATTCAACTTTTGTTTGGAAGATCTGTCCAGTGGCGAGAGAGGTTTGTTGAAGTCTCCCATGATTATGGTGTGGTGGTCTATTAGACTCTTGAACTTGAGAAGAGTTTGTTTGACGAACATAGCTGCACCATTGTTTGGGGCATAAATATTTATGATTGTTATGTCTTGTTGGTGTATGGTTCCCTTAAGCAGTATGTAGTGTCCCTCTTTATCTCTTTTGATTAACTTTGGCTTGAAATCTATTTTATTTGATATGAGTATGGACACGCCTGCTTGTTTCCGAAGTCCATATGAGTGATATGATTTTTCCCAACCTTTCACCTTCAGCCTATGTATGTCTTTTCCTATCAAATGCGTCTCCTGTAGGCAGCATATTGTTGGGTCTTGTTTTGTGATCCATTCTACTAGCCTGTGTCTCTTAATTGGTGAGTTTAAGCCATTAACATTTAGGGTTATTATTGAGATATGGGTTGTTCTTCCAGCCATATTTGTTTATTTCTGTTACTAAACATTGTTTGTTTTCCTCTTTGATTGTTTCCCCCCCCCCCTTTACTGTCCTACCTCCCACTGTTGGTTTTCATTGTTATTTTCCATTTCCTCTTCCTGTAATACTTTGGCTAGGATGTTTTGAAGAGATGGTTTTCTAGCTGCGAATTCTTTAAACTTTTGTTTATCGTGGAAGGTTTTAATTTCATTCTCCATCCTGAAGCTTAATTTCGCTGGATACACAATTCTTGGTTGGAACCCATTATCTTTCCGTGTTTGAAATATGTTATTCCAGGATCTTCTAGCTTTCAGAGTCTGTGTTGAAAGATCAGCTGTTATCCTGATTGGCTTGCCCCTAAATGTAATCTGCTTCCTTTCTCTTGTAGCTTTTAAAATTCTCTCCTTATTCTGTATGTTGGGCATCTTCATTATAATGTGTCTAGGTGTGGATCTCTTATGATTTTGCACATTCGGCGTCCTGTAGGCTTCTAGGATTTGGGATTCTGTCTCATTCTTCAAGTCTGGGAAGTTTTCTTGTATTATTTCATTGAATAGACTGCTCATTCCTTTGGTTTGGAGCTCTGTACCTTCCTGTATCCCAATGACTCTTAAGTTTGGTCTCTTAATGTTATCCCATATTTCTTGGATGTTCTGCTCATGGTTTCTTAACAGTCTTGCTGAGCTGTCTATGTTCTTTTCCAGTTGAAATACTTTGTCTTCATTGTCTGATGTTCTATCTTCTAAGTGTTCTACTCTGTTGGTAGTATTCTCCATTGAGTTTTTAAGTTGGTTTATTGCTTCCTGCATTTCTAGGATTTCTGATTGCTTGTTTTTTATAACCTCTATCTCCCTGTATAGTTGATCCTTTGCTTCCTGGATTTGTTTGCGTAATTCGTTGTCGAAGTGATCTTTCATTGTCTGATTTTGCTGTTTAATGTCTTCCTTGATACTCCAGATCATCTGAAGCATGTATATCCTGAATTCTTTATCTGACATTCCATCTGCTGCAGCTGTTACCTCTTCTAAAGTTGCGTTGACCTGCATTGCTTGTGGTCCTTTTTTTCCTTGTCTTTTCATACTGCTTGCGTATCTTTCCTGCAGGTGCGGGCGGCGGCTCTGCTCTCTCCTTATTCCAATTGGGGTGTCGTGGCTACCACGCCGGCAGGTCACTGGGCCTGTTCTGGGAGCTGGTGGCGGCTCTGTTCTGCCCCTACTCCAATTGGGGTGACGTGTCTGTCGTACCAGCAGGCCACTGGGCCTGTCCTTCTGGTCGGTCGCAGATCTGCCCACCTTTCGGGCACGAGTGGAGGCTCTGCTTTGCCCCTACTCCAATTGGGGTGTCGTGACTACCCCGCCTGCAGGATGCTGGGTCTGTTCCTGGCAAGGGAGGCGACTCTGCTCTGTCACTACTCCAATTAGGGTGGTGTTTGTACCCCGCCGGCAGGCTCCTGGGCCTGATCCGCCGGTCTGTTGTAGGTCTGCCTACCTTGAAGGCGCGGGCGGCGGATCTGCCCTGCCCCTCCTACCACGCCTGCGGACCCCTGGGCCTGATCTGCAGGTTGATCACTGGTCTGCTCACCCTGCGGGCACGGGTGGCGGTTCCGCTCCACCCCCACTCCAATTGGGGTCACGTGACCACCACACCGGCAGGGCCTGATCCGGGCGTGGGATAAGGATCTGCTCTGCCCCTACTCGAGTTGGGGTGACGTGTGTACCACACTGGCAGGCCACTGGGCCTGACCCGCCAGGCTGTCACAGGTCTGTTTACCTTGCAAGCGCGAAGGGCGGCTCTGCCCTGCCCCTCCTACCACGCCCATGTACTACTGGGTCGTGGGTCTGCCCACCTGGCGGGTGTGGGTGGCGGCTCCGCTCCGCCCCCTCTCCAATTGGGGTCACGCGGTCACCACGCTGGCGAGCCGCTGGGCCTGCTCCGGGGGCTTGCGGCGGCCCGGCTCCTTCCCTCTGGCTCGAGGACAAATTGAGGAGACTCGGGTGACTGAGCCTCACCCCCCTTACCAGGAGACCAACTGCTTATGTCACCGCTGGTATTGATGAAGATCTCTCCTCCACCGCTTTCTGCTGACATCAGATCTCTGCCATGTTGGTATCCTATGCGAATGGCAGCATTTCGTTCCCCTTGCCGGGCAACCCAAGCAACGGGTGAGACCTGACCAGCCCTCAGCAGGACCCGGACCGAGACACAGTTTCCGCGGGCTCCTAGCCCCGGTCCAGGGAAGTTCCGGGAGCCGGAACTCGGCCGCTCCGTGCTCGGTGTAAGCTCCTATAAGTGTAGGCTCCAAGAAGCAGCCCCCGCGGGCTCAGTTCCGGGAGCCGGAATTCGGCCGCTTAGTGTTTGGTGTATGCTCTGATAGTAGCAGGGTCCAAGAAGCAGCCTCCGCGGGCTCCGCAGCCCTGAGCCAGGGCGGTTCCGGGACGGTTCCGGGAGCCGGAACTCGAAATGTTGTTATTTATATATTCTGTAATTTCAGTTTCATACGAAAACAAATTCAGGAGTTGCTTTTAAAAACACTAAATTCTATTTTTAAACTGTCTTTTGCCCATTTTTGTTCCTTTTAGTCTGCCCCGCTGGCTGGAAACCTGGTAGTGAAACAGTAAGTCATGTTGATTTTTCTGTTAAAGGCATGGCTGGAGCCAAAAAATTGCCTTGTAATAGAACTGTTTTGGCTTCATAAATGAAGCAAGCTAAGCACAAATCACAAAGTACAGACATTCTCTGGACTATAGGAAGAGTAATTGAAACTAAAGAAAGCAGAATATGGGGTTTAATACTGTGAATTTTAAAGCTAAGTATCCAAGAAATACACTATTCCAGGGGGAAAAACAGAGACTTAGTAGAATAAATTTAGAGGGCGTGTATGAAATTCTTCCTATATTATGAGCCGAGAAACAGTTACAGGCAAGACCTTTCTGTGTATAATAAAAAGCCTTTGGGCTGGGGATGTGGCTCAAGTGGTAGCGCGCTCGCCTGGCATGCGTGCGGCCCGGGTTCGATCCTCAGCACCACATACAAAGATGTTGTGTCCGCCGAAAACTAAAAAATAAATAAAAAAAAATGTTTAAAAAAAAAAATAAAAATAAAAATAAAAAGCCTTTGAGAAAATCTGATCTAATAAACAGTGAAACTAAGGATTATCTCCATGTCATTTGAAGAAGAAAAAGATTGAAACCAGTACATTCTTTCATCAGGGAGACTACATAATTTGTAGATACATATTCAAAATACATTTAGAAACTTGCTTGAAACTTTGCTTAAGTAACAACCAAAAATCTTTGAATTTTTATCTTCTAAAAATCAAGTGTTTTATACAAACTATAGTTAGGAAATTTAAAAATACTAGTGCATTAGAGGAAGAAATCATTATTTTAGAATAGGAAAATATAAATTTCTAAGACTTAATTCCTTGGCAATCCAAAAAGAAAGGTACCATTATCCATAAACATTCAGAAGGAGTAATTTACTCTTTAACCTCAGGTGTACCCTTTTATGTTCCTTGAACATGCTAAGCTAATTCCTGCCTCAGGGCCTTTGCCCTTGCTGTTCCTTCTGTATTGCTTTCTGTATTACTGGCTCCCTCTCTTCACTCACATTTCAGTTCAAATATCATCTTGAAATTCTTTCCTCACCACTATCTCCACCCCATATTTTTAAGCATTTGCCACAATCTAAAATTAGAATTAGACTATAACTCCAAGGGTTCACTAATAAGTACTATCTAGCTATAGTAATAGTTTGAATAGTTATCATATAGCAGGTGTTCAGTATATGTGTGTTGAAAGAATGACCAAAACCCATAAATATATATAATTATTATTTGTCAATTAAGAATAAAAACAAAGTGTGATAATACATATGTATTTTTCTGAAGGAAGAATTCATAGTTTGATTCTCAAAGGGGCTTGTGACCCCTAAAAGTTATCAAGTAGATAGTGTGTTTTCTGAAATGTATAATACTCATCCTGTAATGCCTTTCATAGTTAATTTGTACTTCTTGGCAGTTCTCACTAATCTCTCAGTAGTTGGATACTTAGCACATGCCTGTGCTTGGTAGTGATATCATTTATCATTCACAGTTGGTTTTGATATAACTTCAGAGGGAAATATCCCCTACCTTGAATTACTTATCCAACAAATGCTTTGTAAGCTAGTTTTTAAGATAGCAGTTTCTGATTCATATTTCTATCTGTAAGATTCCATAATCTATAAATATAAACTAACTTGTGACTTAATTTATAAAGAACCTAGTACTCAATGTACCTTTAGTGCATAACTTCAAATCCCCTTTAAGATCCATCAGATCTATGTAGAGATGACTCAGTTGGTATTGTAATATTAACTTTGATCTCAAAGGCAAAACTGTTTTGCAAATCTATTAGAAACTGATTCAAAATCTGTTAATTATAGTGATTACCATAGGTTATTTTTATATGCAAAGGTAGATGTACTTTAACCAACAAGTAACATAGTTAATGTGAGATCAAATTATATTGGAAAAAATAAAGTATATAAGTTCTTATGGCTATCATGCTCTTGGAAGGAGCATTTTTCTTTCAGAGTACTCATTCACTAAAATAGTTATTGAAGGTAATAATTGATATTGTTTTGAATCTTTGTTAACTTTGTAGCTTGAGATTAAAAAGTTGCATTGTGGAGCTCCCAAAAATTCTCTTGATAAACCCATAATGAACACACTACCCCCTTTTCAAGTTATCGTAGCATATCATCATTTAATCAGCAAACAGTTTTAAAAATACATTAACATCTGTAGCCATGCTCTCAATGTGTTTGATTTAACTAGATCAAACCTGAAGATGCTATGAAAGCCTGGTGGCCAAGAGAAGAGCTGTAAGTAAATTTTGGGGTGCTTGAGTACAGATGTTAATTTATTTTAAAAAATAAATGTTTTACTTTTTGGGATAGCTGAGATTAGTAGGTAGGACATATCTAGTTTTTCTTAAGTATATATGATACAATTTGGTATACAAATGTAATTTTTTATCTTCAGTCAAGAGATAGGAAACTAATGCCAGACTATGACTTTTAAAAGGAATAATTTGCTTTTTTTGTTTTGTCTTAACAGATAATCCCAGATCCAACTGGAAAACTGAAGTATTTTGATAAACTAAATTGAAAACTACTTCATCAAGTTTTAATGCTTGAAAGTTCTCAATAAAGGTCACTGTTTTATTATCATTGTGTTATAGTAGTAATTTCTTGGAGAATATAAAAGTCCTAAGCAGTTATTTTCTATCTTTCCAAAGTAAGAATTGTGAGGATCTACGGTTGTGGCTCAGTGGTAGAGTACTTGCCTGGCATCTGTGAAGGCCCTAGGTTCAATCCTCAGCACCGCATATAAATAAATAAAGATCCAAAGTAAGAATTGTGAGATTGAATCAAATAGTAACAGCAATAATAACTAACATTTATGAAATATATTCCACATGCTGGGTATGATGTTAAGCAGGTTAGATGCATTTTCATTTAATACCCACAATTCTTTGAGTAGTTGTACAGATGAGGGAACTGAAACTCAGATAAATTACCCAAAGTCACATAGCTGGCTATCAAAAACAGACATCAAACCCAGACAGGCTGATTCTAGTTTCTGAACTCTTAGTACCCCTACCCCACTTTGGCTCACCTGTCCATACCTTTAAGGACAGCAGTGAAGAACAGGTTTCAAGTATGGTAACCTTCCCTAGCAATCTGATAGGGATGGCTGACGCCACAGCTCTCTGCACTGTAATAACATAAACCCCTCTGGCCCCATTTTTCCTAAAGTCACATTTTTAGCTTGTATCAAATTTATAAGCAGGTTATGTTTATATTTAGTTCAAAAAATGAAAGCTGAATCTCTACATATATATAGCTAGCTCTGAACAAATAGCCACATACAAAGCAGAACTCCAGTGCTACTTCATCACCCTGTTTACCACCCTGATATGGCAGCAACTTTATTGTAATTATTTATAGATGTACTCTGTAGTTTTCCTGGGAGAATTAATCTCATCCTGTCTTCATGCTAATCCCCTCTCCCTGGGGAAAGCCATCACTAGAAGTGACCACTCATGGTGGCAAAGAAGCAAAAGTAAGAGGAAGGGGCCTGAGATAAGATTTGATCTTCAGGAACATACTCCCAGTGACCTACTTAACTAGGTCCCACTCTTCTCCCAAAAGTGCCAGTAGCTAGAGAGCAACCTTCAGGAAACATTCCAGATCCAAACCATAACAGGCATCTAGAGGATAAGGGCTAGGAATTCTAAACATCCTACAATGCACAGGATAGTCCCACAATAAGCCATATGGCCCAAGATATCAATAGTGATGAGTGAGAAACCCGGCTCTGGAGACAGTTGTCAACCAGCTGAAGAAAGTAGGAAACGTATCTGTTGCCTGTGCAGCTGCTCAAAATTATGCCATGACAAATACAGGAGCTTATTCCAAAATAATAAACAACCTGAAGTTTCTGTAGAACACATTGTCTTTTCATTGTACTAGTTATATAACATCTATACTTCCTTGCTTCTCCCTCAAATTCCTAGTCTTCTATTGAATGAAATATGCAGAGGGATACACTACTAATGTTTCAAGCTTTCCAGAGATAATGGTGTTCTGCTCTTTTAGGGATTTCTTAGTCTCCAGAATCTCACACAGGGATCATTACTCATCCTGTCTCCCAACCATCATCACCATCACCATAATCTCTGTCCAAGAGCACATCTAACATATTTTAAACCACCCATCTATCAACAGACTCCAGGTTGTATATTTTTGTTCTTGAACACATTAACTGGTATTTTATTAATGAAACTTTTGTGTCCTACCCCCCATCTGATACCTGAAAGCCATCCTAACATTATTTTGTTACCTGTGAACTTTGAAAATACTATGTCTAAAATATCTTTTTTTTTTTTTGCAGTGTTAGAGATCAAACCCATGGCCTCTCACATGCTAGGCAATTGTTTACCATTAAACTATACCCCCAACCCTCTGAAATATCTTTGAATACAGCCTTTTGATATATAAAATGTAATGAAATATATGTTTCAGGTAAATAGCTCCATAGATGTGTGTCTGTCAAGGGAAATATATATATATATATATATATATATATATATATATATATAGAGAGAGAGAGAGAGAGAGAGAGAGAGAGAGAGAGAATGTATATACATTTGTAAATTTATACACACATGTATATATATACACTCAGACATTGATATAAACTCATTATATTTTTACCTAGCTTTTGAAAAGGAAAGAAAATGTTTATCACAGTTAACTATGCATTTAGTTTTAGATAGCAAAAACGACTTTTACCAATATCATTACCAATATAATGTATATTTTGGCATAATATAAGAACTGAAAACGTATATTTAAAAGATCCACCTTCCTGAAATGTAGGCTTAGAATTTTTAAAATTCTTTTTAGTTGTAGATGAACACAATATCTATTTTATTTAGTTTTATGTAGTGCTGAGGATCAAACCCAGTGCCTCACATGTGCGAGACAAGCACTCTTAACACTGAGCTACAACCCCAGCCTGGCTTAAAATTTTTTAAATCAAATTCAAGTGTCAATTCAGACACCAAAATTCACCTGAATCATGCATCTGTTCATACCAAAACTATCACCCGCACATATACAAGGTACTTTGCTAGGCAATAGAGATTTTAAAAATGATACAAACTCTTCCCTCAAGAATCCCACAGGCTCCTAAATGAAAGCAGCACATAAAAAAAATAATTGAAGCCAGATGTGGTGGTACATGCCTGTAATCCCAACAACTCAGGATGCTGAGGCAGGAGGATCTTGAGTTCAAAGCCAGCCTCAGCAACTTAGGGAGGCCCTTAGCAACTTAGGGAGACCCTGTCTCAAAATTTAAAAAAAAAAATCAAAAAGGGCTGGGGATGTGGCTCAATGGTCAAGTGCACCTAGGTTCAATCATCAGTACCCAAAAACAAACAAAAAAAGGAATTGTAATACAGTGTAATAAGTACTAAATACACCAACACCTGTGGAGACTGCAAGATAAGCATGAGTGAGTACAAAGAAATACAGGGATGAGGGAAAGTGTCAGGTGCCCTATTTCTCTGAAGGCCATATTTTTGCTTTCCAAGGTTTCAGTTAACCAAGTTTCAGTTACTCTCAGTCAACCAGTCCAAAACCATTAAATAGAAAATTCCAAAATAAACAATTCATAAGTTTAAAGTTTAGCACCATTTTGAGTAGTGATATGAAATCTTGTGCTTCCCACTCCATCCCACTCAGGACGTGAATCATCCCTTTGCCCAACATCCATACTGTATAACTTAGTAGCCAATATGAGTTATCAGATTGACTATTGAGGTATCAGTATGTCAGTGCTTGTATTTAAATAACCCTTATGAAGTAGCCTAACACTATATCACAATGCCTACCTCATTTACTTCCTTCATCTCATCACATAGGCATTGTAACGTGTCACATCACTACAGGACAAAGAAGGGTTAATACATTATAAGATATTTTGAGAGAGACTATATTTACATAACTTTTATTACACTATATTGTTATAATTGCTGTACATTATTATTGTTAATGTCTTTTTAAAATATTTTAGTTGTAGATGTCACAATCCCTTTATTTTATTTATTTATTTTTATGTGATGCTGAGGATTGAACACAGTGCCTCATGCATACTAGGCAAGCACTCTACCACTGAGACACAACCCCAGCCCTTGTTGTTAATATCTTACTGTGCCTAAATGATAAACTTTATCATAGGTGTGTACATATAAAAAAAAAACAGTATATGTAGTTTTCAGTACCACTGGCAGTTTCAGACATCCACTGGAGGTCTTAGAATATATCCCCCTCAGATAAGGAGGGACTACAGTGCTTGTGACACAGCCTCAAGAGACAAAGCACCAACCTGGCACAGTGACACACACCTATAATCCCAGCTACTTGAGAGGCAGAGGCACGTGGATAGCCAGTTTGAGATCACTTAGTGAGACCTGTCTCAAAAAAAAAAAAGAAAAAAGAAAAGAAAAGTAAACTAAAAGAAGTTCAACATCCTAGCCATTAGGTAAATGAAAATCAAAATTACACCAAGACTTCATCTCATTCTTGTTAGAAAGTCAAAAATCTGGAAAGCAGTGTGGAGATTCCTTAGAAAATCTGGAATGGAACCACCATTTGACCCAGCTATCCCACTCCTCAGTTTATACCCAAAGGACTTAAAATCAGCATACTACAGGGACACAGCCACATCAATGTTTATAGCAGCACAATTCACAATAGCTAAATTGTGGAAACAACCTAGATGGCCTTCAATAGATGAATGGATAAAGAAACTGTATTATACATACACAATAGAATATTACACAGTATTAAAAGAGAAAATCACGGCATGTGCAGGTAAATGGATGGAGTTAGAGAATATCATGCTAAGTGAAGTAAGCCAATCACAAAAAACAAAGGCCAAATGTTTTCTCTGATAAGTGGATGCTGATCCATAATGGGTGGGGGAGCATGGGAGGAATGGAGGAACTTTAGATAGGGCAAAGAGGAGAAAGGGGAATGGAGGGGGCATGGGGGTAGGAAAGATGGTGGAATGAGATGGACATCTTTACCCTAGATACTCGTATGAAGACACAAATGGTGTGACTCTACTTTGTGTACAACCAGAGAAATGAAAAATTGTGCTCCATATATGTACTATGAATTGAAATGCATTCTGCTTGTCATGTATAACAAATAAGAACAAATAAATTAATTAAAAATATAAGGATGCAGGGGGAAAATTTTTTCATACACTGTTGGTGGGAATGTAAATTAATACAACCACTGTGGAAATCAGTATGGTGGTTCCTTAAAAGACAAGGAATGGGTTATACTGCTTTTTGGTAGAATTAAGAATTAAGATCAGCATACTACAGAAATACATGCACACAATATTTATTGCAGCACAATTCACATCAGCCAAGGTATGGAATCAATCTAGGTATCCTTCAACAGATGAATGAATAAAGAAAATACACACACAACAGAATTTTATTCAGCCATAAAGAATGGAACTTGTCATTTGCCGAAAAATGTATGGAACTTGAGAACATCAATGCTAACTAAAATAATCCAGACTCAGAAAGTCAAGGATTGTAAATTTTCTTTCATGTGCTGAAGCTAAAGAAGGAAAAAAAGGGAGA